AGGCCATGCAGAACAAGATGAGTTCTATTCCAGCTGAAGGTGTGGAGAGATGAAACAATTATGTCACATGACAAGAGGGAGGGAACTTAATATAGTTTATCTGAATCCACTGCAATTTTCTTGTCTGTCTACCCTGCTCTTGTCTATCTACCCATGACAAGTGGATGCTAAACCACAGTAATTTCCCCTCCAGTGTCATTCAGGGGTAAATCACAGTTTAGCTCTACTTCCTGCAGAATAGGAGCAGACAGGCAAAACAAGAGCAATGGTTGAAATAATGCATAGTGCACAAGCAAGTAAAACCTCCTAAAGCAGTCTAATTACTTGTATTCATATCCTGATTCTTAGGAGTCTCAGAATGTTTTCTGAAAAGGTGCACATATCTTCAAAGTCTCACTAGGTTGGAATCACCACACCAGATGCGTAGGCTATGTTTGCACTACAGTCAGAGAGGTGTGTCTGCAGGACATGTAGGCACATCTGCATTAACTTGAATCTACTAAGTGTAGTTACTCATAGCAACAAAGTCACGCTGATATGCAGTATGTATCTGTTTCTTGGTGGGCTTGTGTAGCTTCCATGGAATCCTGGATTGTCCTGGTTTCACTGCTATTGGTACCCATGTTGTTCTCTAAAGACCAAGGAGTTCAGCTTGTAGAATGATAATGCTTGTTTATTTAAAGAGCACTCTAAGCCAGCCACTCTGCAGTTGCCTCCCACCCATTCCCTGGCCAATGTAACACTTATACATAACACTATTAAAGGTATCCAGCATCTTCCCCCTTTACATGTAACATATTCCATGTAATACTAACATTGGACGTTTAGTTCAACCCATTTGTTAAAACAAATTTTAACAGGTCTCTATTAGTCTTTGTGTTGGCTTTCTAGCTCTAAGTGATCTTCTAAGTTTCTCTGCATTCTCAATCCTTATTGGTTTAGTTCTTGTTTGGTTTCCCTGTTCAGATGTCTCTACTTCTGCAACATTTTCCATCTCCTCTGTCATTTCTTCTTGCTTTGTTGTTGGCTCTGTTTCCTTTCGTGAATCTCACGATGCTGCTTCTTTTCTCCCCTTTACAAGCCAGAAGAGTCATCTGTTCCTTCTGGTGTGACTGCTTTATAGTATCTGGGAGCTACTTTTTGGGAAACTATTGCTTTGTTATGCAGATGTGGTAACTCCCTGGAACCCCTGTCATAGTACCATTTTTGTTTGAGTGTCGAATTTTTAAAATGTTTTCATGTTTTGCTTTTCATTCTGATGAGTACAGTCCACAAGATTTGGCAGCCTGGTTTTGGGTTTTCTGTTAAATAGCATTTCTGTAGGAGACAATCCATGTTTCGTATAATTTAAGAGTAATAGGTAAACATCAGTATGTGAATCCATAGCTTTTTTAACAATTTATTTACTATTTGTATTCCGTTTTCCACCAGACCATTGAATTGTGGGTATTTAGGACATGAAGTGATGGAATCTATATTTGTTTGCAAAGTCTTTGAAATCAAGACAGTTGAACTGAGGTCCACTGTTTGCTCTCACAACTAGCAAAAATTGACTTGGTGTGGGTTATGACAAGGGTTGCTGTTGTGCTTTTGAGCAGTGCAAATTCAGGATAGTGAGAATAATAATTCAGCACTAATACATATTTTTTTCCTGCATGCATAAATAAATCAATGCCCACTTGATACCATGGAGCTATAGCTCCTCCATGACTATTATGGGCTCTTTTCTTTGTCCAGATACATACTTTAGGCACATTTTACAAGCTTTTACAGTATCTTCTATGCCATTATTTATATTGGGCCAATATACAGCACCCCTCACACTCTTTTTGCATTTTTCAATGTCTAGATGCCCCTCATGGATTCTATTTAATACATCTTTCTTTAGCACTGCTAGAACAACAAGTTGTGAGCCTCTGAACAAAATGCCATCCACTACTGACAGCTCTTCCTTGAACTGAGAGTAGGGGCTAGGTATATGTTTTCCAAGCCAACCAGCACAAATAGTGGTTATCAAATTTTGCAATGAAGTGTCTTGATCAGTAGCTTCTGCAATTTAGTGCCCACATTTTATTTGTGACAGGAATCACCCTTTTCATTACATTAACATGTACTATGTCTGAGTCTGGAATTCGGTCATTTTCTGTTGTCTTATATGCTCTGGACAACATATCTGCAATAAATAGATGTTTTCCTGATGTGTACTGTATGTCTAGATCATACATTTGCAGTTGAAAAAAAAGTCTCTGTAATCTGGGTGGCATGTCTGATAACTCTTGTTTTATCCTCATGTTTTTGAAGCAAAGCTCCTCCAATGCCTTCTTTAGAAGCATCTGTTGACAATTTAATGGGTCTTTTAGAGTTTATAGTATTTTAATACCAGAGCTGTCATTATATTTTCCTTCAAGTTTTTAAATTCTGCTTCATGTTCATGTTCCCATTTCCACTGAGCATTCTTTTGTAGGAGTGATCTACAGTGTTTGGTCTGCTCAGCTAAGATAGGTAGATATATCCCTACAAAATTGCTCATTCACAGTAATCTTTGCACTCTTTCCTTATCTGTAGGGAGTGGCATGTTTGTAATGGCTTTAACCCTTGCAGGATCAATTTACACCCCATTCTCAGAGAGCTTTTCTCCCAGATATGTTATTTCTTTGACCCTGAATTTGCATTTTTGTTTGTTCAGTTTCAAACCTGCTCTGCAAGCTCTTTCTGGTTCCTTTCTTAGCCTTAAGTCATGTTCTGCCATAGTATTTTCCCAAACGAATACATCAGGAGTATAAACCATAGTTCCATCAAGACCTTCAACAGTTTGTTGCAACTTTCTGTGAACATATTGAAGGTACATAATCTAGTGCTATTCTATTCTAGGAGAACTTGCCAAAACCCAGAAGAGGCATCCAAAGTGGAAAAATATTTAGCTTCTACTGTACTGCCAAAAACTTCTTCCCTGGTGGGAAAATGCTCCTTTTTGATGTACCTGTTCATTTACTTAGGATCCAGATATAATCTCAAGGATCCATCTATTTTTTTTCTATTAACACCAGTGAGTGAATGAACTCAAGCAGTTGGTTGCTCTATTTTTCTATAATGTCTATATTAAATAATCTATCTAATTCCTTTTTCACTTTCTCCCTTAGTACAAGGGGAACATTTCTTGGAGTATGTATGGTGGGAGTATTTGGTTCTCTTAATTTTATATTGTACTCAATTGACAGTTTCTCTATGCTTTGAAACACATCATAAAACTCTTCTTCTGTGTTCTTGCTTTGTAGTCCCTCAATGGCATCCATTCTCTTATTCAAACCTAGAATTTTACACACTTGTAACCCAATAATTGGCACTAGCTTTCCTGGGACTGTTACAAATTGAATGTTTACTATGCTACCCTTGTGTTTAACATGGAGTGCACAAACACTTTTGGTTGCAATCATTTCCCATTATATGCTCAAAGTTTCACTTTCTTACTCTCATAGTACACAGGTTTAGTTTTCATTTTTTGAATAATGTATTCTGGTATCACATTGAGCTGTGCCTTTGTGTGTAATTTCAAAGTTACCATTAGTTCACTGGTGTCCAGAGTGATTGTCCAATCCTCAAAAGAATGAACAATTTCTTGAATTGTGCCAGTGAGGAATTCGTCATCTTTCTCATTGCACAGAGCATGCACCTGCTATTTCTGGTGTGGCACATCCTGCTCCTTTCTGCAAACTCTTGCACAGTGATTGAATCTTTTGCATTTGTTGCAATGCTTACCAAAAGCAGGGGGTTGCATAGGTTTGTGGTAACCCCTACAGTATCTGCAGCTGACCCTTGTTTCTTTAAAAAAAATTCTTCATCCTCTGCTTGCCTGCTTCATATTGAGCTCTTCCTTTCTATACTGTTTGTGTGTTGCCTCAGGTCTTTGCAGTCTGATAATCCTGCTGATAATCCTGTCTAGTTCAGTTTGTTCTGTTTTTTCCTTCAGCTTCTGCAGCCTAGCATGTGTTATCTCTGCTGCTTGACACATTTTAAGTACCTTTTCCAAATTAAGCTCAGGATCCTTTAGCAGTCTTTTCCTGAGGGTTGTATTTCTTACACCCAATACTGTTTGGTGTCTAATCACAGATTCTTAGTTCTCCAAACCTTCATGTCTGGCTCAGCAGTCTGAGGTCTTTGACAGACTCCTCTTTTGTCTTACATTCTTTATGATGTCTTAGGTGGAAATTATACTACTCAAAGATTTTGTTTAGATACACAGTATTCCTCACACTGTTCCATTACTGTGCCATAGCTTTTCTGTTCTGTTTCTGATAGTTGTAGGCTATTGTAGAGCTTATGAGCCTGCTATATTTAAAAAAAAAAAAGCTACCTTGAGTGAATCATCCTTCTCTGTAGCTCCACTGGCCATCATCTATATTGTGAAGCTTTGCTTAAACTTCTTCCAGTTCACTGTTGCATTGCTAGACAGCGTTAACTCATCTGGAATTCTGAGATGCTCCATTTTTCTATATTTCTTTGTATCCCACTGCTGGTACCATGTGTTGCTCTCAAAAGACCAAGGGGTTCAGCTCATATAGAATGATAAAGCTTGTTTACTCCGAGAGGACTCTAAGCCAGCACTCTGCAGTTGCCTCGCATCCTAGGCTAATACATAATAGTTTAAAGGTATCCACACAGTATGTAAGATAGCTGGCTTAAAAGTTAGCTTGGGGGTGTCTACTTCTTGCTTGTGATGTTTGACACAGTAAATGCAAAGAGATCCATTCAGGATTTGGATGATTAATACTGCTTCAGAAAAACACTAGTAGTCTGCACCCTAGCCATAGCCCATATCAGCTATTTTAAATGATGGTGCTGAAAGCTGTGTTTTATTCCCAATTTTAGATACTTGTTTGGAATAAAGATGTCAGCAAGTATAATGTTTGTAGTTTTATAACTTTGTAAATTCATTCCTTTATCAAACTAATTGCTTTATTATGTCTCCTCTCCTTTTTTTTTTCTTTTTTCCTTAAATGCAGGTAAATGAAACTGGGTGGCTGTGTAACTGCACAAAGGTAATCTGTATTGACAATAACACCATGCAGACGGTTCCAGTACCCTGTGTCCCACCTGCAAAGCCCACATGTAGCAATGGTCTTGCTCCTGTGGCAGTGATGGATGAAGATGGATGCTGTTGGCACTGGGAATGTGACTGTAAGTAAAGAATTTGTTAGCTATTTTTTTATGTTTTGAGGAACCAAAACTATTTACAGGAGCTACAGTATTTGTAGCAGAGACATGTTATGCAAGTTTTACCCTTTATATCTCCAGCAAGGCATATAATTATTATACCCTAGCATCAAAGTAGCCTAGCCAAAAGCTAGGCTTGAAGGAACTACTACACACCTAGAAGAATAGTATTATTATGAGGCCTCAGCTGATTATATTTGAGGTAGGCTCAAGCTTTTCAGTTTGTATCCTGATCGAGCTGCTTGAAGTGATACTTAACTTTTGGTTCAGAAATTGGGCTGGGGTTTTAACAGGCCTTTTTGTAAAATTAATGACACTTCCTGTTTCAGGGGTGGGTGGAAATATTGCAAAAAATAGTCTTTTTGAGAGAATTTTTTGTTTTTATTTCACGTCATATCTAAAATCAGAAAGCACAGGAAACAGAGAGTAAGAACAACCAGGCAAAAAGTGTTCAGCTTCTTCAAATTTTAAAGAAGTTCCAGTTTCAGTTTAAATCAAGTTTTAAGTTGATTTGTTTCGCTTAGCTTTTTTAAAAAAAATCCCAGGTTCCCTGAGTTAACACCAGTAATAGTAAATTGTCCTTCCAGTTACTACAAACCTTGTTCATAATCTGATTCAAATTCTGCTTTTTTGCCATGCAAAGTTCAATTAACTCTACTTCTCTTGATAGGCTTTTGCACTGGTTGGGGAGATCCACATTACACGACATTTGATGGAGTATCCTATAGCTATCAAGGGAATTGTACATATATCCTGGTTGAAGAGATTCACAAGAAAATTGACAATTTTGGGATCTACATTGACAATTACCACTGTGATGTACGAGATACAGTCTCCTGTCCACGCACACTCATTGTGAAACATGAGACCCAGGAAGTGCGCATAGCAACAGTCCAAATGAATCCTATCAAAGTAGAGGTATTTGAAGAGTGATCTGTAATTCTGATGTCCATTGGATGTACACTAACTTAATTAGATTAATTTCTCAATGTGCTCATTACTTTGGTACTAATGCTTACACACATGGAACAATTGTCCCATGCACTGCAAATAATGCAGCCTTGGATAGGAAAAATATATGACTTTTGATAGGAAAGCTACTTTGTCTGTGTATTTAAATATTATAACAACTCTGCACTTTCTATAGTCAGATTTTTACAATCCCCCTTCTCTCCAAAATATGGGTTATTGGAAGTATCCATTGGAGTTGAGTGCATAGAATGGGATATAGTTTTATGAATTTGAAGCATCTGAAGTTGGGTAATATCCTAAAGAAAGATGTGTTATAGCATATGAAAGGAGTTCTAATAAGCAAGAGTAGTCCCTTAGTCCTTTGTAAAGCAGAACTGAGGAAACACAGAAGGCCATTGAATCATTTGGGAATTTGAACAAGAGAACATGCACATCTCAATTTAGAGATGAAAAATCAAACACTGGGGCCAAAATGTTTCTAAAAGTCTCCTTAGTAGGCCAATGGTTTGGTATAGTTCATTTTTTCAAGTGCAGGTTCATTATCAAATGGATTTCAATGTTCAGTATGATGTTTCAAGACAGAGCTGTGGCATGGATGCTTTTCCTTTTCTAAAGAGGCAAAGTAGTCTAGCCTCATAGAGTATAAGAGGTAGATACATAAGACATCACCGTGTTCTGTACAAGTCACTGGTGCATTTGCTTTCTCCCTCTATTCCATTTTCATTTTATAATGAGCATAGATCAAATATATTACCTTTATTCCCTGTGTTGGAACATTTTGAAGAAGGAAAGAGAATTTTAGCTTGTTGCACAAGAAGTTTATTATGCATTTCCTCTTATATTTTACTGTGGCTATGGGGATTTAAGCATGCTTTCTACTCCATGTTAACTGCCTGCATGTACATTTTTACCTCATGGAAGTTTATCGTCCTTTCACTATGACATAAGCTGCCATGTTTCAGCTGCAGCGTAAGAACATGAACATAGGCAGTTACTGTGGAATAACTGCTGTGCTGTGAATCCTTCATCACATTTACTTCACAAGGAGCATGCTCTTCACATGTATTTTCTAGTATCTTGTGAGGTACTAGGAAAATCTGCATTATCCTGTTTTAATGTGCATTAACTAAAGAGCACGAGGCACTTTTACATGTGCTATGGAGTGGAGGGGGGCAACACTTTAATTAGAGTGACTCCAAGAGCTGATCTAATTAAAGTGTTACAGTGTCTTATGTATCAGCATCCCTACACTTAAAAATGGTGGTGGGGGCTCTTGAACTAAAACATGTTCAACAAGCGTTAGGTCAAGCACTCATGCCACTACTTTTAAGTGTGGGGACACTGATACACTAGATGCAGGAGCCTTCTGGAGCTCAGTAATTACCACCCTCCAACAGACTCGATTGTTTCAATGTGCTGTAATTACAGTACATCGGAGCAGCCTCTTCATTCGTGTTCAGGCACCTAGTTTTTAAGTGATGCTTAATGTGCATTATTCTGTTTTAATGCACATTAACTAAATAGCATGTTTCTAAGTGATTTTTCATGCGCATCAAAATAAGCTAATGCACATTAAAATGCATGTGTAGACATGCCTAGTGACTTGCTTGGTTGCCATGAAACCAGAAGATGTAGATGTAGACAACAAGGAAGCTGGGAGCCCTAACCCAAATATTATTTACCTTTCTGCTGTATTTTCAATGCAACTTAATGATAAATATATTCTTTTTACCAATGTTAAACAAAATGTATGCCTCTTCTCTGTTTTCCTTTACACATTAGGTATTTGTAAACCAACAAGAAGTAGCTACACCTTACCAAAAATTTGGATTGAAAATCTTTGAATCAGGCATAAATCAGGTGGTGGAAATTCCTGAACTTAAGGTTAATATAACCTACAATGGCTTGGCCTTCTCTATTAGAATGCCATACAGCCAGTTTGTCAACAATACCCAAGGACAGTGTGGTAAGGATACATTTTTCTCCTTTTAGAATTAAATATAAAAAGCTAAATGAAAGCCCTAACAGTAAGAAAGTCAATATATGATCCTCTGATTGATGGAAATTAAAGGACCATTTTATACTGGATATTTGTGTCCAACTATTACTTCATTCCCTTGCCGTTTGTAGGGATTTGCAACAATGACCCAACAGATGACTGCAAGCTACCCAATGAAGAATCTAATTGTGAAAGGATGGCAGACAGTTGGCAAGTTAATGACACTAGCAAGCCAGAGTGCCATTCAACCATACCATCTACAGAACCACCTACGGTTATGCCCTCATCCACAACAGCCTGCAAAGCATCTGCACTTTGCGAGCTCCTTATTAAGGGAAGGTAAATATGTCATGGGCATGCACAGACCTTTATCCTTTAAATTTAACAGCATTTCTGAATTCCAAGCACTCCATGATGTTTCCTCATCACTAGCAAGGTTTTATTTATCTTTGTTATTCTTTTTCCTCATCTGTTCTTCACATTTTATGATCCTTTAGTCTCTGCAACCTTCTTGTTGCGCCTCAGCCTTCTTTGAAATGCCCATAATCTTCTGTGCTCTCTTAGATTCCCCAGGCCCTTCTGCATCTTGCCCCTGGAGACCCTGAAGGGACCCTCTGATTCATTTTCAGAACATGGCTCCAGAAGAGAAAAATTTCAAGCCAGATCTAATCTAAACATTAAATTTTTGGTGGTTCCTGAACCTTTTGAAGAAAGGTGGGGAGGATAGTCTAACACAGGGGTAGGCAATGCTTTTTGGCTGGAGTGCCGAAAAAATCAAAATGTCTACCTTGGAAGGTGCCAGAGTGCCGACATGCCAGAGCCTGGAGCAGCTGTTTGCAGCCTCCCAGCTGCAGCCAGCCCACAGAGCCCTGTCTGTCTGCAGCAGGTCTTGCAGCCTCCTAGCCACCTGCTGGTAGCAGCCTGGGCTCCGTGGCTATCAACAGCTGCTTAGAGCCTGGGCTGGCGTTGGTGTGCCGAGCAAAATGGGCTTGTGCGCCATGCTTAGCACACGTGCCAGGGGTTGCTGACCCCGGTCTAGCAATTGAAGTCAGTGTTTTAGAAATGAAACATGCATCTCTCAACAATTAGTCCTGTTCACATCTCCGTGCACACTAATATACTATATGACATAAGAAGTACACTGAGCTGCATATGGGCCAGTCAGGAACTAATCTTAATATATCTTTCTGATTCTAGCTTGTTTGAGGAGTGCCGTAACTTTATCAAACCTGAAAGATACTATGCAGCCTGTGTGTTCGACACCTGCACTATTCCCAATGCTAAGATGGAGTGCTCCAGTTTGCAAATCTATGCTGCCATCTGTGCTGACCAGGGTTACTGCGTTGACTGGAGAAGTCAGACCAAGGGCACCTGTGGTATGTAGGAGAGGGGGAGGGGTTGGGAATTGCCATTTAGCTTGAATAGTTTGGAAATCCTGTTGGGTCTTATTTTAACATCTTCCCTGATAATTAGGGAGGTTTGTCCTCTGAGGCCAGAATATGAAGCATCTTAGTAGCACCTTGACTTAGGTACTGCCTCATCTAAGGTTTAAGTGCCTGTCCTGGGCAGAGATTCAAAATGATCCATTTAGATGCATCTCATCCCTATATGGTCAGTGAAGAAATTTCAGAGATGACTAAGAATGATTCAGGTCCATAGAGACTCTATATAAAGAATGGAGACAGGAGGTCACCTACAAAGGGTGGTTCAGAAAGGGTACTTAGAGCTAGCCAAGAGGAAATGTTAAAGCACAAGTGTGTTTCTGAGCTCTCACCATTTTCAAGCTATCTGTTATGTGTCTCTTTTTCCTTACAACTCATCCCACTTCTGAGCTAATTGAACAGGAGGTTTCTAAAGATAGTTGCTACCCACTTTTTGACTAATAATCGTATAGGGAGAGTGTTCACCAAGGAAATGGGAGAGTTGGGTAACACTCTCCCAAGGTGGTTTGAATGCACACCTCCCACTCACTAGCTGAATGCGCTTAACCACTGAGCTGTAGAAAAAGTTCAGTGAAGGCATTCTCCAGTCTTCCTGTTAAAGGTGGGCCACTGGACAGCAAGGTATGCAAGAGATCTGGGGTCAGAGAAAGACACAAGAAGGAGCCTGACTCTATAACCCACTCGGAGGGGAATCCTCTTTGTTGGTATGCTTATTTCTGCTTTTAAATGAATGCCTTTCTAATGAATGTGAAATACATAAACAGTACAGGGAGGAAACATAAGGGAGACTACCTCCATAACCCTAGCACTTGTGACATTCCCTTGGAATATGGGAATCTTGGGGTCTGTTCCCTGATGAGCACTGTTTTTGCATTTTGCATTAGGCTATCATTAGCTAAACAGCAGATATAAACAGGATTGCAAAGGGCAGGCACTGTCACAACTGATAATTCAATGCAGTAGATGTGAGTTAGATAAGAAAGAAATGCCACCTAACTTCTGGTTCTCTTTTAGCTGTAAGTGCCATTTGGAACAAGTAGCTGCTCCAGGCCAGTTCTGAACACGAGTTCTCCTCACTAAGGCTAAGGGAAATCATTCTTTGGGACCCAGGTGGCCAAAGTGCACTTAAGTACCCTGTCTAATGAGGAACTTTGAATCTGGCTTGAATTTCTAATAACAGTAAAGAAAAACTTCACAGTCTTTGTTGAAGAAATTTTGCTGGAGAAATTTTCAATTGAAGAGCCCATAGGTGACCCTATGAGAAATATATGTGCACTAAGTGTACCTGAAACACCATCTAATGGCATGCGCCAGTGCCTGCATTTATAGATCATATATAGGGACCATCCAAATTCCCAGTGGAAGTGGGCTGCATGGCAGCTTCTTTAATCTTGCAGGTTCCCCTGCACAGAGGGCGTGGTTGCTGATTGGCTGAGGGGTCACAGCAGTCCTCCTGCTTGATGCTGACTGGCTGGGAGGTAAAAATGGTGCCGCATTTAAAACTACAGTTTTCACTTACCTGCTGGTCAGGATTGAACAGTGGGGCCTCTCTGCCAATCAGTGGGGGAGGCACATGGGGGAACCTGCAAGATTAAAGGAGCTTCCATGTGCAGTCCACTTCCGCTGTGACGTCAGTAGGTCCCTTATCATAGATTTTGCAGGCATGATTTTAACAGGTGCATCAGTTTCTTTGTAGGTGCAATGGAATCACTTTTAAAAATACTTGTCCTTAAGAAATTACAACTAACAAAAAAATTCAGTATTAAAAACTCAAATCCTGGTCTTGCCCCAACACAACAGAATGAGGCATTTCTGTGTATGTTACTTTATGTAACATCACTTAACACCCAGAGACCCCACATTAACTAGGTACTTAGTGGAGGGTTATGGGTGGATTTTTACCCTGTTAACTTCAGATTAGTTGATTTCCATGCTTCACATTTAGACCTTCAGTGTAACTGAATGAGGCAATTTTTATCTATTTGTTTCCAGTGTTTGTTTGAAGATTGTCAAACGTAAATAGGAAAATGCATAGTTGTCAATGTTCTGTTTCCTGGGGTTGACTTAATGGGCCTCCATATGATGGCCTTACTGATTGCTCCCCCCACCTCTTTCTTTTCTTTTCCAGCTCTTGAATGCCCATCACAAAAAGAATATAGAGCATGTGGTCCCATTAAAGAAAAGACCTGCAAAACAAGGTAAATAGTTACTTCTCTGCCAAGTAGCAAACTGTTTAGGGGTAGCTAGCCCACAAAGAAATTAGTGAAACCAAACTTTAAAATCTTAATATTGTCTCTAAAGGTACAAGCACACAACATATTTACCTGGTAGTAAATGGAATTTAGTGCATAAACCAAATAGAGTGAACACATAAAGCACATCCCGGCTATACAAAAAATTACTCTAGTCCAGATTAAAGTTCCTTCACTATGTGGAAAATGTACTACATAAAACATACAATGTGTCAAGCCCTGTACCCAGCTTTAGCCCAAGGTAGCCATTGGCACAATACAAGTTGCCCCTCCCTCCACTTACTGGCCAGATTCTATAATAGCACCTACTGCAGGCAGCTACTTTGGGAGAGGTGGTTGAGTACCTGCTTTGTACTGCTGAGTCAATTTACTAAGGAGTAGAACCTAAGATAAATTACTCTAAAATAACCAGGCTGTGCATCCATATCCTTATAGACAAACTTTGGACCAGATATCAAAATAATGACTACCTTTATCTTCTTGTTGCACCTCTGACGTGACTAAGTTAGCTTCTGTATAAAATGAAATAAATTATGACTTGAAACAAGATTGCTTGTAGTCCAAAAATCTCACAGACACTGTTTCTTTTGCCTATATTTTTCTGAGTAAAATAAATTTGCCTCAACTTTCTATTATCTGGGTATCTCTCTGCTGATAATGGTGGTCTTCTGCAATTTTTATCCTATATAGCCCAGAAGAACAAGACAGTAAAAACTATGCAGAAGGCTGCTTCTGCCCCAATGGGACAATGCAGTATAGTCCTGGTATGGATGTCTGCGTAAAAACCTGTGGTACGTTTTTTATCTTTATTTATCTTTTGATGCTGTCTAGCCATGTAAGTTGTAGTATTGAATCAGCTTGTTGTACCAGTGGTAACAAAGGATTATCTTTTTCTGTCTGCAGGGTGTGTTGGACCAGATAACGTACCACGAGAGGTACATTTACTTTTCTTTCAAGTTGTTTTTGTCTCATCCAAATATGCCATGTTTTGTGAAGACCCCCAGATTTTCAACCAGGCATTTACTTGATTGGGTGTCTCAAATTTTAAAATCTTTGATTTATACTTAGCTTAATCTGATAGATGGAAGATATTGTCCAGACAGCTACTAATAATCAGTTTCCAGATAGAAGAACAATTAATGTATAGCTCCACTGTTTTTGCTTTCCATCATACACTCAAAGACAGATATGTATACATAAATACACACATAACACTGATGAAATAGTCCCTTATACAGTAGCTGTATTTTAATTTTTTTCTCCAAGTATTAACCTTTCAGTCACTTTCTCTTTCCTATCTTTTGTAACAGTTTGGGGAGAAATTTATCTTTGACTGTAAGAATTGCACTTGCCTGGATGGTGGAAATGGCATCATCTGTGAGCCTTACCAATGTACTGCACAAGTAAATAAGCCACAATGTACTGGAGAAGGCTTTTATGAGGTTGTTGAAGTCACCCCTAACGACATTTGTTGCAACAAAACTGTCTGCAGTAAGTTGTTCATCCTTTGGCACTCCACTGTCCCTTGGAAGTGGAAAGGCAGAAAAAAGTTGGAGAGGCTAGTGCCAGAGATTCTTAGATGAGCTACAGTAAAGAGCCAGGAAATCATATTTTATGTATGTTTTTCAAAAAGGAGCTGGTGTTTTTTAAAGGATGCACTGCTTTCAAGCTAACAGTTTGCTGTGCCGCCGTTCAGAAAAAAAAATCTGATTTTTTTTTTTTTAATTCTTGAGTTCAGTCAGGTCATATTCAGTGGGGCATCTACACACACACTTTACAGCAGAGTTGACTAATTAGCTCTGCAGTAAAGTGTCACACTATTAAGCTGGAGTAAATTAATTAACTCCACCATACGATAGTATTGCCTGACACAAGTACTATCCTATGGCAGAGT